TTTGGGACATCCTCCAGCTCCCAAAATGCAGCTAGCTGCTTGTCCAACGTGACTTCGTTAAAATACGATACGATATTGTTGGTTGGACTGACTGAACCCGCGCGACCAGTCAATATCCAACCGAACACGGTCTCTTGGGCGAGAAGCGTATTTAATACGTTCTTCCTCATTCCGCTTAAAATTATTTGCGGGTAAATATCTCCTCCTAAGACAAGGTCAACTGGCTCATTGACGAAGAATCTTTTGTCCGCCAAGACCAAGTCTGGGAACGATTGCCGCGTCATTGCGCTTATCTGACNCAAGTCTGGGAACGATTGCCGCATCATTGCGCTTATCTGACAAGGCGGAAGATCCCCGGTTAATTGTGGTAAAACCAGCACGATTGCTTCTATATTAATTAACGGGTCTGTGGGAGACCGAAGTTGAATAGCAAACGCTTCTTTTACCTGCGCAGATACAGAGTTATTGATGCCCGAAACTTGGGCATGCAAGCGTTTTGATGGCATGCTGATTCTCCGTTTGAGTCTCTCAGTAATGAACGAGCACTCAGAACCAGAATCTATAAGCGCTCTAGCCGAAAAATGTATACCATTATAGTGTATGTTTACGCGTGCTGTTCCTAACAAAACTCCTTTACTTGTATTTGCGTAACAAGAATTTACATTTGTAACCGATTTGATGTCTCCTTTTTCAGACTCGCGTCTTGATTGAGCCTGGTTTGGAGTCGATTCTACGTTACCCGATGGATCAGATGTTGCTCTTGGCTGAATTGGCATATGGAGCAACTTGTGATGTCTCGAATGACTAGTTCTGCAGTTAAATGAGCTGGTACATCTTGAGACTGTGTGCCCAGCAGATAGACAATTCAAGCAACTGCGAATGCTCTTCACGTAATCTACTCGCTCCGTCGGCTTTAGACGCAAAAATCTGTCGCACTTAGATAGCTTGTGTACATTGCTGTTGCACATTTTACATGTCGCCTTTGCTACACTGGCTTGAAAGGCGCCAAGCTTTTTTGCAGGTGTCTCTGCAGAAGTCCGAGAGCTTGGTGGTTTAGGTTTCGAAGCTATATCTCCCCTGAGACCTGTGACGGTTTCCAGTGTTTGAAACCGATTGGATAGGAATTTATCCATATCTACCCATTTAGAAATCTCAGTTTTATTTTCTATGGTTTGCTCCCATAGTGCCAGTGTCGTTTCTGGCAGTTTTGTCTAACACAAATATGTGAATATTGCATCCCAATTTGAAACATCAATCTGATGACACTGAAGCGACGAGATGCAATTATTAATGTCGCGTTGCAGTTTCTTGATGGAGCTACCGCATTCACTCTCAACTGCGTTTAAATAATACCTTAATAATACCTTAATAATACCTTTAATTGAGCATTGACCAGGATACGTTTATTTTCGTACCTGTCACATAGATTATTCCAGGCCGCACCAAAGCCATCGTTGGTTAATGGGGATCTCTGCACTATTTCCTTGGCCTCCCCTTGGGTTTTTTGCCGGAGGTGATACACCTTCTCAACTGGAGTAAGGCGCTTATTTAGAATGTATATGGCCGTAAACATATCCCTAAACGATGGCCACGAAAGATAATCTCCTTTAAAAATGTCTGTGTCACAAGGAGGGAGATGAATATTAAGCTCGCGACCTGACTTGTATTCGCTTTCCTTTTCAGTCTTTGCGAGTTGCTCTGAAAGATCAGCCATTGCTGCTTGGCACCGCAAAAAACTGAAGTACGTGCTTTTATACTTCTTTTTAACCGATGCCAGGTCTTTGGTTTAGAGCTCTTTTGATGCGCAAAGCTCATCATAAGACCCCTTTACCTTTTCCCACAGAGCCTTTAATTCATCCTTTTGGAAAGTTAAGGAGTGTTTTGTGTGCTCTGATGGCTGCATAGAGTTGTAGTCAGATTCNTATATGTGTTTGTGTGCTCTTACATCAAGTGACAAAACGCGGATTAGAGCGGTGCAATATATTTAGGTTGCGGACCTAAACAGGCAGTATATCGTTTCGTCAACAACATTTGTTCCACAACTGTAAACTGGGTGCCAAGACGTGTATGCTCTGACTGTTTGTGTGATGACAGGAGATANACGCCGATTTGTAGGAAAATATTGCTACTAACCGCTTAGCCCGAAATAAGCCTAGTTCTTATAAGAACAACAAAAGATAATTTGTATATTTAAGTAATGACTTATTTATTTTCCAGCCAAGTGAAACTGTTGAGTACGTAATTACGTATATATGCGTATATGCAAAAGAAATGTGCAAGTCACTCGCCACCCAACTTATAAAAAATGTGATGTACGTGTGTAACTAATTAGAATCNACTTCATTTCGTCCTCGTTCACCACCAGACCCATTCGCTTTGCTTCTCTATCCAATCCCGAGAAGGCAGNCTAATTAGAATCCACAATATGCAATTTATTTAAAATTTCTAATGAAAAAATTTTGTTTGTTCAAGCGCGGCTGTGATTTTGTGCAACAAACAAATAAATGGGGGAAACTACCCAGTGAAGTGATCAGCTATATGTACAAGCGCGCCACTAATAATAGACAAGTGCAATTTGAAAAGAAACCAAAGGAGTTTCGCAAACTATACTTGAAGTTACGCGATTAATAAAATGCAAATAAAAGTGAAAGCCAGTAAAATGAGAAAAAACTAAATTCTGTGCTTTGCAAGAAAATAATAAATTTTATCAATCTTGTGCTTCGGTAAATGCGACTGGTATTTTTACACAAACAACACCATATCAAGAATCAAAATGGACGTTCGCGCAATTCGTTAATGTTAGCCGATACACCAATAAACGTGAAAATGTTATATTTTTTTATTTTCGGAAAAATATTAAGCACTGAGTTTTCTCCCCTTTTTATTTTTACAAAATAATCACGCGCGTTTTTTTTTTTTT